ACTCGAGCTGGGTGGTTGGCAAAGGGGTACATAACCCAAAAGACACATCCTTTTCACGAAGGGGTGGATGTGTGAATGAAGACAAGTTCCAAGGGGCACATCTTTGGCAAGAGAATCCCTATCAATCCCTATATAAAGTGGGGTTGAGAAGAAAGAGAGAATTCACATTTTTGGGGAGAAAACTCTCTAGAAAAAGAGAGAGATCTCGGTCCAAGGCAGAAAACTCACTAAAAATCAGATCGGGTGATCATGGTCGTGTTTTGGCAACGATCAGGCAGATCCGAGTCGGATCACGGTTGACCAAAGGAGATTATGGGCAGAACAGAAAGATGGTTCTAGGCGGATCAGACGGACGAGTCTGGACAGAACGGATGGATGGTTTTTGGTAGATCCGACGGACGAGTCTAGGCAGAATGCACAGACGGTTCTGGGTGGATCAGACGACCAGGAACGATCATCTACAGCCTTGATCCGTGATTGGGCAACGAACGGGTGCATTGGCGACGGATGATCGGGAACGGTCGGAAGGCTTCGCATGAATGAGTACCACCGTGAAAGGGTAGGACTCTGAACGGGTACGATCGTGAACGAGTGAAATTGCAAGAAGACAGTTCGGGTAAACTGATGAATCCACGAATGGATGGTTCGAATTAACATGATAAAGGATTAAACGGGCAAAGTTCGGTCTTTTTGTATAGTTGGTCATGTGGGTTTGGTTGGTTGAGTGACTAGATAACGAAGGGATCATTTAAGGCCATACGTGGTAACAGATTGAATGAGAGACGTTCAAACCAGAATGCGGATCGAGGGAAAACTGGATTTGTGAATTGGCCAAGGTAAGGCATAAACCTTCTTATGGATTGGTTGGATTCTTGCTAGATCTAGGCTGGTTGGTTTAGAGAATAACTGGATGCTTAGACTTGCACGACTTGACCGAGTGTGATAATCTTAAGCCGAATGGAGGCCAATAGATAAAATGATCACTTGAGACATAATTATTTCGGATAAGGCTATTCTTTGCTAAAAAGATTGTCCGAAGATGCGGATGAACTGATACGGTACAATGATTAGTTTAGGTCAATGAACTTAGCGCGGTTAAAGAATTTGAATATAAAGGATTTTTTGTTGTGTATTTTAAATATGAATGAATCTAATCTAAGAAACGATTAGGAAGATTCGTAGTAAAGATCCTAAGGACCATAAACCTTAAAGAGGCAAATGATCCTAAAAAATGGGTTAAGACACAGAGGTTCGGCCAGAAAGTGGCCCGAACATGGAGCTCCTTGACCGCAGTCTAGATAGGCCAGGAGGGGGTGTATTTAAATGATTAGTTTTTCAAATTCATATTTAAATTAGGTGTACCTTTTTATTTTATTTTACTAATCAAATATCTATTTTGTTAAATGTTAATAAATTTATTCTCATAGTTGTATTTAAACTATTTTTACTCTCTGCATATTTTATAACCTTCGT